ATATATATATATATATATATATATATATATATAATAATAATAATAATAAATAAATAAATTATAAGCTTTTATAAAATATTTCAATAAAACATTTCATCAGATTAACAACTTTTATAAGCTTTTCACTCAAATATTTCGTCAATTTTTACCAAAATCTACTAAAAATCTAATATTTATTGAAATTAAATAGGAGAGGAGCTTAATGTTGGTGAATAGAAATCAACAAAATGTATCGTGTTCAATTAAACAATGTTGAAAAGTGCTTGGACTCGTTACCTAACCCTCTCCGGTCATAAATTTCACCTTCATAATTCAAGTCTAACTAGGAAATACTGTTTTTCATGGCAGCCATTTTTGTCCCATATTATTATTATTATTATTTAACTCCCTTACTCGACCACCAACCAACCATCACCTCAGTATTAGTGTGGCCAGATTCATCCAAAAATGTGCCATATTTCCATTGCATGTCGTGTAATTTCTTTTTATATTCTTTTGCACCAAAAGGTTGAATTGAATAGTCTGTCAATGCAATTCAAGCAACTTCAAGGAAAGTGAGCAGTAAAATGATTTGGAGTGCCGAATTTCGTTTTGCCCACAAATTTTGACCTAGATGACTACAAATACCTGTGAAAATATTTGTCGGGCCATATTCATTTGTTCTTTTCTCTCGAATAATATTATATTGCATTAATAGAATTTACATTTGTGACGTTAAATGACACTCAATAAAACAATTACGTAGAAACATTTTCACTCCACGTGACATTGATATTTAATGAATAGACGGTTAAATTCAAATTCCATCTCTAATATGAGAGTAGAAATAACAAACATGAGAAAAGATCGAAAGTTTGAATTTTCGCTTTATTAAACAAATCATTTACGTCTAAATAGTTATCTTCGCTGTGTTTATTTTTTTCTTGTCACGACAACTTGATATAGTCTAGTTAAATTGCACGGGAGAAGAAAAATGAAAACAAGCATGTGGTTTAGAAAGTCTATAATGAAACTAATATTGTAATGTTAAATGTATTCAAAGAAAAACCCCATTTAGTCCAACAAAAGCAATAGAAAATTCTTCCTTCAGCCATCCAGTTTTTGTATATAAATATACCCTTTTCGTAGTTCATTATCCAAACCAGCCATATCCCTTTATTTCCATTCACCATAGCCAAAAAGTTCTTGTAAGAATGCTGCTTCAATCTGGTGTATTGAACTATATAATTCTGATAGTAACTCAGCTGAAGTGGGCATGGGATTACCTTCTTTACCAGTCCTTTCGGCCTCATGGAATCATATTACCCGAATATGTCGATGATCTTAGCATAACACGATACGAAAACAATGGGATCAGTACAGTAGAATGTGCTGTGTGTTTATGCAGGATTGATGATGGAGATGAAATTAGGGAGCTGAGTTGCAATCATCTTTTCCATAGAGTTTGCTTAGATAGGTGGCTGGGATGTGGGCACGTGACATGCCCTCTTTGCCGGAATAATTTAAAGCCGCCTCGACTGGCAGTCGACGGCCGCCAGGAGGTGATATTGATCGACTTCTGTGCTGCCAGATCAAGGGATCGATGTACATGGTGGCTGCGTTAACGTTGAACCAGAATCCCCTTCATTCTTTCGATTTTTTACACAAATATGTTTATTGGTATAGAAAATATGTATCTACTTCTTAGTAATGAGAAGAGAATTCTTTGGGTTCAAATTCAAGGCTCATGAGCCACATGCGTTGTATCAGAACAATGGTGATTTACATACCATGTAATTTTAAAGTGAGATAATATTTTATCGACTTTTGTCAAATTTCAATTTTAATCACACGGGACAACTTTTATCAACTTTTTAGTTATCTATTACATATGCTAAAACTTTTATCATAAGTTTTGTCAATTAACCTCACAACAATATTGCTGTTTTAGTCCCTTGAAAAGTGTAAAATTCCAAATTGACTCCATACTTGCCAAAAAATTACAATTATCCCTCTAAACCTGAAATACCGATTTTACAACTTATGATCAAACTCGGAGAAATGCCACTGCTTACTTCAATACGTTGCACTTTAGTCCTTTTAGTTTTTAAAAATTGCGAACTGAGCACAATTGATTTCCTACAGTAATAAATTCATAATTTAGCTCAAAATATAGATAATAAGTGAGAAATTTTGGGGTGTGACAACATTTACAGATAATTGATTCATGTTTACTACATATGTTGAGAAATATTGATTCCAGATCATGAACTTGGCTCGACCTATCCTCCAACTCTTATTCATTGATAACTAATCCATGACTTCTTCTTATAGCTCATCTCGAGGTCTAGGGTCCAACCTCGAGAATTTGACAATAGCATGTGCTAATGTGCTTCATCATAGTGCATGGTCGAAATTGGTAAAATGCTAAACTTTACACCACGTGTTAAATATATACGATGGTCAAAAGGTACTCAGATTCATTATTTCAGCCCCTTTACTTTAGCTATCATATTGGCCTCCATCTGAAAACAAATGTATAAGTAATTTATTAATTCAAGTAATTTTTAAGAATACATTCATAGTTTCTACTCATTATTATTTAATGCTTTAGTGGGATTTGTTATTATTTCTCTTTATAAATTATTTATAAATTTATCAAAATGAATGCTTTATTTTTATTTTTGTCTCAAATTAATTATTCGACCACCAATTACACAATCATTAGAACTATAGATTCTTCCAAAATGGCATATTTTAAAGTAGGCCTGGGCGTGGTTTGGTTTGGGTTGGTTTCGACCTCAACCCAAAACCAAACCAAAGTAGTCGGTTTGAGCAAAATTAAAACCAAAACCAACCCACTCTAACTCTCAAACCAAACCAACCCAAACCACTTCGGTTCAATTTGATTTGGTTTGGTTTCTCGGTTTGGACTTTTAAATAATATTGCATTGTAACTTATAAAAAACCGGACAGCAAACAATGAAAAAGAGATCAATAATTCGGATTCAAAACGACCACAATTCAAGAAAGAGGAAGACAGGAACAAAAATTACAAAGGTTTAACATATTAGATTCAATTCAAAGAATAAAAGTTACAAATTACAAATCATGAATTACAAAGTGACACTATATTCCCATAGATAATTAATATAAGATTTAGGTACTAGAGGATGGAAAGCTACGATTCATAGAGGCTTAGAGGCTGCAGCAATTTCTGGCAGAGCAATAGTCAAATTGTGGTGTCGAGACTCGGAGATAGAATATGGAAGTAACTTGTAAGATAATTTTTGAATTGCAACGGGAGAGATTAGAGTCTGGAAAGGAATGAGAAATTGAGGCTCGATTGAAGACTTGGAGAGATTTAGAGTTAGTGGGTTATCATATTTATTTTGACTCCTACAGTCCTACTTCGTCTATGAGTCCCCTTTCTTTCTTTTTTTTTTTTTTTGTTTAAATGTTTCAATATGTAACGGGTTGGGCGGTTAACCATCGGTTTTGGTATTCAAACTATGAACCAAACCAAACCACCGTGATTTTGTCTACAAAAAATCAAACCAAACCATTTGACTACTCTAAACCGAACCAAACCGAACCAAATCGGTTTGGTTTGGCGGTTTGGGTGGTTTGGCGGTTTTTTTGCCCAGGCCTATTTTAAAGTTCTGTTAGATTCGACTCATTTTTATATCGAAATTAGTTGAATTGAATAGTCTTTGTCCATGCAATTAAACCCACATGGCAATGACAATTCCTATTAGCTTCCAGTTTTGACTAACATGACTAGATTTATCAATTCTTCTGAGTACTTTCATATAACTTGGACAGTATTAAATAATATTAGTGTCAAAAAAGATTATATTCTCAAATAAAAGATAACTTTATTTATTTAAATATTATCTTTAACACATAACTTAATGGAAGACTGGATTCATTTTATGCCAAATACTTTTACCTGCTCGTTAAACTACTAAATTTAAAAATTTACAAAGAGACTGAGTTAAGGTGAGGTTCAAAACGAACTCAGAAAGGATATTTGTGGCGAACCAGAGTTTCCAGAGCTATGATCTTGGATTCCCAATCGATTTCGAAACTAGTTGAAGGTGGTTAACCACCCAAATCTTGAATTAATTAGTAGACCAGCATCGCATGACCCAATTCATTCTCGAGATGTGTTGGGAGCTAAGGCAGTCCGTGCGCTCAACTCATGGCATTTCTATAGAGTTTGCTTAGATAGGTGGGCGGGATATGGGCAATCTGACGTTTCCTCGATGCTGGAACAATGGAAAGCCACCTCGACTGGTGGTAGACAGCCACCATGACAGGAGGTTATATTGATCAAGGGATCACTGAATATGGTTGCTACTTTTAAGCAGAACATATGAAACCTTAAGGTAGAGCATTTGTTCATTTATTTCCTTCAATTTGTCATACAAATATGGATCCACTTCTTGGTAATGAGAATGGAAATCTGGAGTTCTTGATAATATTTTTATACGGGCACAATAATAAAATTCTTTTGTTTACCATACACTCAAATACAAATTTTGAGACGTACAAAATAAAACGCTTGAGAGTTTCATCAACACTGTTATAGTTGATTCTCTTTGAAACGCAGTTAATACTTCATTCTCGTAGGAAAGACTAAAGAACAAAAGATTGTAAGAAAAACAATTCCGTATACTCACTGTCTTTCTGAGGTAATGTGGTGTTTGCACTAGATTGTATAGATGATGTTGACCCCAAAAAATATTGCCAACAGATGCCGGTCTCACCCGCCCGTGCATGGGCGAATGTCCAACACGCTAAGACACGTGTACGGTCTAAAACGAGCGGTTCAAAGGACGTGGGAGTAGCCCAACGACGCGGGACGGTGACGTTCGGAATCCGGCGAGTTGTTCGTGATCCGATTGTACAATAATTACCAACCGGTGTTCGTAAATGTATATGTAAATGTGTATAAACTCGATTTGTGTATTGCAAGTAAATGAGAGAGAGAGAGAGTTGAGTAAAGTGTAGTTCTTTGTATTGATTCTTGCATTAGCCTTTTGATGTTACACAAGGGAAGTATTTATAGTGGTATATGTGAAATGGGAGCCCTTGGATGAGGTGGCACGTGGTCTCATCTCTTTGATTTAAACATCTTATCAAGCATGAGGTTTGACTTGCTAGCTTGCAGCGCATTTATTACTTGTGCAGAGCCCCTATACTAGTGACAAGACTTGACCTTCATGCTTATGACGAACGTTCCATCAATCATTCGAATAAGATCTTTATGCAGACGATCTATTGGGAGAAGTGAACATGGAGGACACTCCCTTGTGGTTCGGAGGCTCCTGCATCAGCTTTGAGGCTTCGGCCATTTCACATGATACTTCCGCTTGAGGGCTTCAGCTATCTTCAACTAGCTTCAGCATCATGGCTTCGGTTCGTGGGCCTCGGGTACGTTCACAGGTCTCGGTAAAAAGGCGCCTCGGCTAGTGGACTTCGGCTTGAAGGGCTTCGGCCATTGCCCACCTTGGCAATATATGCCACGTGGTTCGGCCTGAGTGGGCCATTGGCCTAGGTGGATTAGCCAAGTATGACAACACGCAACAATAGTCACCCAAGTCCAAGTACGGTCATTCATGTAATGCGTGAACTTTAATGAAGTAAAATTGAAAGAATTTTTTGAACCCCAAATAATAGTCCCCGAAGTCCAAGTGTAGATATTTATATCAGAGTTGGAATTAGAAATGTGTTGCCGTGGGTGAACGATGGAGAGACCGAGGTTGTGTTGATGTTGAAGACGAAATTGAGGTGGTTGTAAAATCGAACTTCACTTGTTGGCTAAATGTTGAAGTTGAAGCCGAGGTGGTTGGGAAATCGAACCTGTGAGACTTGTTGGCTGAATGTTGAAGCTGAAGCCGAGATGGTTGAGAAACTGAACCTGCGAGACTTGATGGCTGAATGTTGAAGAAAAAGCTGAGGTGATTGGGAAATCGAGGTTCGAGGCTTGATGGCTGAATGTTGAAGTTGAAGCCGAGGTGGTTGGGAAACCGAACCTGCGAGGGGCTGAATGTTGAAAAACAAGCCGAGGTGGTTGGAAAACCGAACCTGCGAGACTTGTTAGCTGAATGTTGAAGCTGAAGCCAACGTGGTTAAGAAACCGAACCTGCAAGGCTTGATGGCTGAATGTTGAAGAAAAAGCCGAGGTGGTTGGAAAATCAAACCTGCGAGGCTTGATGGCTGAATGTTGAAGTTGAAGCCGAGGTGGTTGGGAAACCGAACCTGCAAGGTTTGTGGGCTGAATGTTGAAGAAGAAGTCGAGGTTCAATGGTAATGATTGTGCCTTGATAGTTGTGCCAATGATTTGATATTTTGTGCTTGTTTTCGAGGAAAAGTGGCTGACCCGTTACGACTTCCAAAGCACCTGCTGCCGTCGAATTAAAAACACAATTATGAGGACAGCTGGAGGTTATAGAAGCAGACGCATTGGATGGGGTGAGTGGGAGGCACGCTTGAATCTGAGGCGTAGGTTTGAAAAATCGTTTGAATTCAACGCCTCAGATTTGATCTACAATGGAGGGTTCAGATTGATTGAGCTTTGATCTAACGGCTGGGGTTCGTCCGGGATCTCTATAAAAGGTGAGAAAATTCCATTTTTCAAGACTTTTGAGCATTTGCAATCTAATTCTCTTTGAAATCTTGAACTTTCCGGCGTCGAGGCTGTTTGTTCTTTCATTTTCCGGCCTATCTCCGTTCGCGTAGTTCCTCCCTTAGGTATTATTCTTAGAAGAGCCCCTTTTTTGTGTTAATACTGTGAAATGGAGTCCACCTCGGGTAGGGAGCTGGTGACAGTAGCTTCGTTAGATTATGGGGTCAGTCATAGGGGAGATTCCGAAGTTGATAGGTACGCCATGACCGAGGAGCCAGTAGATCATACCGAAGAGTGGAGGGCGTCTAGGGTGCCTTCAAGTATGACGTGGAAGAGGTTGGGGGAGATCAGGGAGAGATACAGTGCCCCCCACACTATAGAAATATTAGTTCCCGAGCCGAACGAGCGAGCCTGCTATCCAAGGCCCAGTTGTGTGGCAGTCAGTGAATACCTGTTTAAGGCAGGTATGCATCTTCCTCTGCACCCCTTCTCTAGGGCGGTGCTGAGGAATTTCATGTTGTCGTCGACCCAGGTTCTGCTAAAATGGGTGAAACCAGCTGGTCGGCTCGTACTTCCTGTGGAAGGAGGTGTCACTTGGGGGGGACATGCCTCTCCATGTATTCATGACCCTTTTCCAGCCCCGAGTCATAGGGAAGGAGTCCAGGGGGTGGTATTACCTTATACCTTGGGGGGCTCACGCACCCTTTGGACTGATGGCTTCCAGAGGTACGAAGCTCCCACAGTTGTAAATTTTCTTATTCTTTTGTTTTGATACTGATGTACTGAACTGACGTGCTATGTAGATAAATTCAAGAGGAGGGAATACCAGCTCCAGATATGGCTTCTATTCTGAAGGCCACATCTACTGTCAAGGCGAGGCCCTTGAAGTCGGGGTCTAGTGGGGCCAAGGAGGTCCGAGGTAGGGTGGAACACCTTTCCAAGGACAGCACTTCAAGGGCTTCCGAAGAGGGGACTCAGAGGCAGGAAAAGCCAAAGGAGCCTCGGGGGAAAGAGAAGGTCCCTGAGGAGGCGAAGAGGAGGAAGCTGGTGCACGTCACCAGCTCGTTAGTGAAGTTTGGGACAACGAGGCTAAATCAACTAGCGAGCCGAAGCTGCTCGCATCCGCCTCCAAAGCCATTAAGATTGAAATGGTTAGAGAGGCTGAGGCTGAGGCTGAGGAGGCCAGAGAAGAGGCTGCAAGGAGAGCTGCCGAGGCTGCTGAGGAGGAGGCAACGAAACAGAAGCCTCTTCGAGAGAAGGACAAGTCTCCAAGCTTCCTAGCTAGTAGGGAGGAGACCTTGGCCTCAGCCTTGGTGGAGGATCTACCCCAGGAGATCCGGAGTGCTACTGAGAGCTTCTACCGGTTCTGGACTGATAGGTAGCAGCTGCATGCCTCGTCCTGTGATGCCACCGACCTGACGAGAGCTTTGGTGAGCCAAAGTGTCAGAACCTTTGGCCTCGCACTTGGATGCAGGGAGGCCCTGGGTGATTTTCAAATAAGGTTCGGAGGAGAAGAGGGCCTCCCTCGCAGAGGAGTTGAAGGCAGCTAAGGCCGAGGCAGAAGAAGGCAGGGCCCAGAAAGTTGAAGAATTGGCCAAACTTGAGTCTGCCTTGACTCAGATTGAGGCCTTGAAAAAGGAAGTGTACGAGTCACAGTGTGAGGTGGCCTCCCTGACAAATAAGGTGGAGGTCTCCAATGAGCACCAGAAAGTAACCGCCGAGGCCCTGGAGAAGGCAAATGCCCACTTGGCATCATCCCAAGAGGCTTACCAGTTCTTGGAGGGCCAAGTCAAGTGGTATGTGGATGATGCCTCCCACGCAAGAGAAGAGGCCCAATAGGCGAGAGAAGAGGCGGTGCAGGAGTACGTCGCCAACTTCCATAATACAGAGGAGTATAAGAGCTTCAGTTCTTACTCGAGAAACTTTGCCTGTGCCGAGGTGATGGAACGAGCAGAGGAACTGTATCCCAATTTGGATCTGACTCAACTCAGGTCTGAATTTGTGGACGAGGTACCTCAGACCCCTGCTGAGGAGGTGCAGGGTGATGAAGCAGCTGAGGTAGAGGAGACAAATGCCGATGCTCAAGCTGCCGAAGCCCCAAGTGCTGAGGCACCTCCGCCATCTACCTAGGCTTAGATTAGTTTTCTTTTCAGTCTTTTGAATGTAATGGCCTGAGGCCTACCTTTGTAGTCTTTATTGAAGATCAATATGATGCCTTTTTTATTCGTTGTTGTTTCATTGTTGTTTCTTTATCCAAGTGTATGCGCCTCGTTAAGCAAATGAACTTAAAAGTTGACAAAAGCACTAACTAAATAACTTTAACTTGGTACCTTAACTTCAATCACTTTAAGCAACTGGATTGAACGACTGTATGAGCCTCGAACTTAAGCAAATGAACTTTACTTAAGCATAATAACTGTGTGGGCCTCGAACTTAAGCGAGCCTCGGATTTAAGCAAATGAACTTTATTTAAGCACAACTGTATGGCCCTCGGAATGCACATGAGGTGGCTTCTCCCCTTGGCATTCAGCCTGGCATAAGGGAGGCATGTACTAGCGCCTCGGAGTTCAAGCGAGGTGGTCCAGAGGTGAGACGCGAGCCTCTCCTCCGAGGTGACGACACATCCCAGACATGGTGGATGGTGCAGCCATGTTGAGGTTTCTCCCCTTGGCGTTCACCCTGGCCTAAGGAAGGCATGTGCTAGCGCCTCGGAGTTCAAGCGATGTGGTCCAAAGGTGGGACGCGAGCCTCTCCTCCGAGGTGTCGAGGTAGTACAACATGTTAATTTAATCGCTGAATTTTATTGAATCATAGAAATGTTACAAAGGCTGGGAAAGGTCATCCAGCAAGATAGTACATTTATTGGTAATAGATTCTGAGGTGTTCAATGTTCCATAGATGGGGTTGTGCCTTGCCGTTCATGTCTTCAATCCAGTAAGTCTCAGGTCAAACCTCTTCTCTGATTTTGTATGGACCTTCCCAGTTCGGGCCTAGGAAACTGGAACCAGGTTCTTTTGAGGACAGGAAGACCCTCCTGAGTACAAGGTCATTGATTCAGAATGACCTCTTCTTAACTTTCGAGTTGAAGTACCTTGCCATTTTTCTCTGATATGTGCCGAGCTTCAATTGGGAGTCATCTCTTCTTTCTTCGATGAAGTCGAGGTCGTGCCTCCGAAGCTCATCGTTGGTTATCTCGCTGAAGTGCAGACGTCTTGGAGACGAAAGTCCGACCTCAATGGAGCTCATCACCTCAGTTCCAAATGCCATGAGGATGGGCGTTTCCCCTGTTGGGGTCCTGGTGGTGGTTCGGATCGCTCAAAGGATTTGGGACAGTTCATCAACCCAGGCCCCTTTTTGATACGTCAAGCTTCCTTTTCAGGACGTGCTTAATTGTCTTGTTCACAGCCTCAACTTGGCCATTTGCTTGTAGGTGGTAAGGTGTGGAGAAGTGCTTCTTTATCCCGAGCTCTTTACATAATTCTCTAACCTTCTTGTGGTCAAACTGTCTGTTATTGTCTGAGACAATTGAGTAGGGAATTCCGAACCGGTAAATAATATTTTTCCATAAGAACTTGGAGGTTTTAGCTTCAGTGATTTTTGCCAGTGGTTTAGCTTCGACCCACTTTGTAGAGTAATCAATGGCCACAATTGTAAAATTTGCACCTCCTCTACCTTTAGGTAGGGTACCTATGAGGTCCACACCCCATTTTGAGAAAGGCCAGGGGCTGGAGACGGTGGTCAAATCCTGCGATGGTTGTCTTTGCACAGGAGAGAAGCGCTGGCATTTATAGCATTTTCGTACAAACTCGAGGTCGTCCCGCTTTAGGGTAGGCCAGTAGTACCCCTGCCTCAATATTTTTTGTGCCAGAGATAGACCTCCGGAGTGGTTACCGCACACGCCCTCGTGGACTTCTCTTCATATGTAGGTAGCCTCTTCTCCTCCGACGCACCGTAAGAGTGGAGAGGAGAAGCTCCTCTTGTAGAGAATGTCATCAATGAAGAGGAAGTGGGCTGACTTCCTCCTTAGCTTGTAAGCCTCATTCTTGTTAGTGGACAATACCTGGTCTTTGAGGTATGCTATGATTGGCTACATCCAAGTGGGAGTTCCATCGACCCACATTACAGTAGGGGCCTCGATCGAAGCCAGGAGAAAGTGCTCAATAGGTACTACTATGAGTAGCTCTGAGTCCTTGCTACTAGCCAGCTTCGAGAGTGCATCTGTATGCATATTTTTTATGCGGGGGATCTGGATCAACTCAAACTTTTCGAAGGATAGGATGAGGTTCATCACCATTTTCAGATAGGAGGCCATCGTTTTATCTTTGGCTGAGAAGTTACCATTGACTTGGCTAACAACCAGTTGGGAGTCACTATTGATGAGTAGCCTCTTTACTTGCATTTCTGTGGCCAGCCTGAGGCCCGCAAGAAGTACCTCATATTCTACTGCATTATTGGTAGCTTTGAATCTGAACCTCACCGTTGAGGTGAGTTTGTGACCTTCAGGGCTGATGAGGACAACCCCGGGTAGGTTGGTGAATTCAGGCACAAAGTCAGCCAAGGCTTGCCCTTTGATGGCTGCCCTAGCCTTGAACACAAGGTCAAATTCACTTAGTTCCACTGCCCATTTCAATAACCTTCCTGAGGCATCGGGCTTTTGGAGTACCTGTCTCAGAAAAAAGTTCGTCAGGACATGGATGGTGTGAGCTTGGAAGTAGGGTCTCAATTTCCTAGAGGCCGTGATCAAGGCTAAAGTGAGCTTCTCCATATCAGGGTAACGGGTTTCTGGCGATAGGAGCGCTTTACTTGTGTAGTATACGGGGAGTTGGGTGGACCCTTCTTCCCGTATCAGAGCCGAGCTGATGGGCTCATTGGAGATGTCCAAATATAGTTGTAGGATATCACCGGGTTTCAGTTTGGAGAGGAGGGGGGCCTGCCCCAAGTGCCTTTTCAGGCATTGGAAGCTCTCTTCACATTCCTCAGTCCACTGGAATTTCTTCCCAGCCTCCAGCACTTTGAAAAATGGGAGGCATTTGTCCGTATCTTTAGAGACGAAGCGGCTAAGTGCGGCCACTCGCCTGGTAAGACTTTGCACCTCCTTTGGCTTTTGGGAGGGACCTCATCTTACATAGAGTTTCAATCTTCTCGGGATTGGCCTCAATTCCTCATTAGTTGACCATGTACCCCAAGAACTTGCTGGAGGCTACCCCAAAGGCGCACTTGAGGGGGTTGAGCATCATCCTATACCTTTTCAGGATTTGGAAAGTGCTGTTGAGGTGCGTTATGTGGTCCTCAACCTCTAAACTTTTTACTAGCATGTCGTCCACATAGACCTCCATCGTTTTGCTAGTGAGGTCCATAAACATCTTTTTTACAACTCTTTGGTAGGTTGCTCTGGTATTTTTCAACTCGAAGGGCATCGTTCTATAACAATAGAGACCTCAGTCCGTGATGAAAGAGGTGTGCTCTTCATCGGCCGGGTGCATGGGGATTTGGTTGTAGCCGGAGTACGCATCCATAAAGCTCAACAACTTGTGCCCAGCCGTGGAGTCCACTAGTTGGTCAATCCTTGGGAGTGGAAAGCTATCTTTCGGGCAAGCTCTATTGAGGTTGGTAAAGTCGATGCACACCCTCCACTTGCCATTATGTTTCTTTACTAAAATCGGGTTGGAGAACCACTTCGGGTAGGTTGCCTCCCTGATGAAGCCATTTTGGATGAGCTTCTAAACTTCTTCCTTTAGGGTCTCATACCTCTCTGGATTGAGGGCTCTTCTTTTTTATCTATGCGGGGCAACCTTAGGATCGATTTTCAGGTGGTGGCAACTGACCTTGGGGTCTATGCCTACCATGTCCTCATGCCTCCAAGCGAAGATATCCAGGTTCCTGCCTAGGAAGTCATTAATCTTTTCCTTCAGAATGTTGGATAGGCATTTGCCTACTTTCAGCACCTTTGATGGGTCTCGGGGGTCTACCGAGAAGCTCTCAATTTCCTCTACTGGGGATGCTTGAGGCTCGTGTTCCATTATGCGGGGGTCAATCTCATCAATGACCAGCAACTCCGGATTATGTGGTGCGTCGATCATATCAACATCTTCTTATTCGGTGGGAGCATTACCTGGGACATCAGCCATGACTACATCAGCTATGATTACATGGACGTCCCAGGGCTCTACCTTCTTAATGGAGCTTAGATAGCACTCTCTCGAGCCTCTTTGCTCGTCTCTTACCGTTGCCACCCCATTTTCTGTTAGAAATTTCATGCGTAGGTGGTGGATGGAGGTGACTGCTCCCAATTCTTTTAAGGCTGGTCTGCCTAACACTCCATGGTAAGCCGACCGGTTGTCGACAATGAGGAACTCCATAAAGTTCATCGTTGTTTGTGGAGATTCTCCCATCTCCACTGCAAGTGTTATCTTTTCCCTCGGAGTGATGCTATCTCCGGTAAATCCGTACAATGGAGTAGTGGTGGGCGTCAACTGATGATCCAATATCATCTTGTCAAAGGCAGATCCGAATAGAATGTTGACAGAGCTGTAGTTGTCAACTAACATTCGTTTGAGCCCATTCCGGGCTATGACAACCCTCACCACAAGTGCATCGCAATGGGGGTAATGAACTCCTTCGGCGTCTTCCTGGATGAAAACAATAGGTGGAACTTGGTTTTTTCGGGAGCTACTATCCACAATATAGCTTGTCAAAGGGGGGTGTTTAGCCTCTCGAGCGTAATTCCTTTTGGCATTTCGTGTTTCACCGCTAACATACGGGCCTCCAAATATGGTATCCACCTCGTGGATAAGGGCTTTATTTTGAGCTTGCCGATTTCTTTGGTGCCTACGCCCTTC